TGGCGGACAGTCATTGAGGATTGTCCGGGCCGGAGTCCAATCCCACGAGGGAGCAGTGAAAGCCTAGAGGGGCCGAGAGACTAGCTCCGGGAAGAGGGACTGCCGGTGCCTTGGGTCAGTTGGAAGCCCTCGGAGCAGATCTGCAATCTAGACCTTAGGGTTAGGTGCTAGATTGAGGGGGAGTGTTGGAAGTTAAATGCTCCTCGGGTAATGGACAGGTAGTGTAGTGGGTAACACGCCTGTAGCGCTCGGGAACCCTGTGGTTCGAATCCCGGTCTGTCCGTTTTACCCATCTGGCTCACGTAAATTCCAACACTCCTCATACCACTCTATCGTCGAATGGGAGCAGTGGGGTCCCTCCGGCAGCGCTCTACTCGGCTCTCCGTTCGGGGTGCATCCGTCAGCGATGGACAGTACATACCCGTATGGCTCCCGCGTACCCTTCCTTGCGAGTGTGCGCGGAAGCCCGCAGCACATTCAAGTCATCACTGTTGACCTCAATCCTAACGGCCAGAAGCTCGCAGGCAACCCATATATCATCATCCCGTCTTACCTGAGACGAACTGCCTCCAGAGATGCCAGAGTTTGGACGTCACATGTGCAAATGCGGCATGTGGTATACAGTTCCTCCAGAGAGGAGCCAGATCCTGAACTCTGGTATCCGTGCATAATCGCGCATCCGTACGGACTCGTTGAACTTGTGAGTACCCTACCTGAGTACTTCGGTCATATGCTGATGATCCCTCCCGAAGTTCTACCATACAGTCGGACCAGACGCTGCAGCTTCCCAGCAGGTGGGCTTCAGAATCCACATTTTGGACGAAGAGCGACATAGATGATACGACATGATGACAAGGCTCGTATTCTTTACATATCCCATCATCATGATGTACGCTGCGGTTCTGCCGAGATGTTTCTTGATCGCTGCCTCTACTTCCATCTCCGAAACCCTGTGTATTCAGTCGTCCGAACACACGCACCAGTGTTCGCCGCCTGCGCCTGCCGATTCAGCTCAACACCTGTCTCCGAGTCCATCGGATACTTGTTATGTAATAGTAGTCGTCGGTCGATGTCTTCTCCAAGTTCAACTTCGACTTGCCCTTCGCCCTCCTTCGCCCCTACTTCGTTCATTTGTCCCTACACAAAGTAAGAACAACTGCCGCTCACCATATTGTTCGAGGTTGGTCGCTATCCGTACATGGAAGGACGTCTGACCGAGCAGTCACTGGCCGATGCCGCAGTACCATCCCGCTATCTCAGTCCCGGTCCGTAGATCTCGAACAGTCGTTGTTCTGCAGCCTGCGGCACATCTAGCTATCAATGTCTGAACAACAGGATACCCGGCCTATTATCCAGCATTGGTCAGCTTCCGTCAAGGAGCTGTTTTACGAGCACGCCACAGTGGATGCATCTAGCGAGCTACTACCGATATCCGCGACTGATGAGCCAGGACCACCACAGGGCTCGTGGTCTCTTTCAGAAGACGTTATACTGTGTGCGTTCTGGCGCATTGTGACTTGAGAGATCTGGTGGCTTGCATGGCGGTGAGTCCCGTGGAACTCGAAGCAAACTGCTCATACACTCACACGGTACACCCTGGTTCGTCAGGTCTGTTGGTGGCTAAGGACACTCATTCAGTCAGATACCTATCTACTGCGATACAGGATACTCTTGGCCGCAAACGGGATGGTAGACGGGCCGTCCGGACACAGCAACAAGCTGGCCATGTTACAGGACCACTGCTCTCGGGTCGCCAGCGGCGCATACTCCTGCAGCAGCGGCCGCTACTTACCACGTGTTGACATGATCCATGAGAAGCGACGCGTTGCCTTGGCATTTGGGGGAACCATCACCTACGTGGTCATGAAAGCCCATGAAGGCCTTATTGAGATTTACGAGCCCTCTCCCATACCAGGAAATCGTACCGTCAACCGCTCGTCCGTCCCGTTGACACTCTTTCCCACTGAGGGACAAGTGTACAGGGTGTCCGCAGATACCACACAGGATCTGCTACTAGTGGTACAGTACTTACGCGACGGGAAGACGGACTGGTAAGATTCAGTGCATACTTACATGCGATATTGAGTTGCGACGGTGATGCTCATCTAGTACAACTTTACAGGGATCTCAAGGTCCACATTCGGTCTCTCTCAGATCCAAGGGCATGTCACCCGCGGGCCTCATCACCTATATTATACACTGGGACATGGGCTCGCGAGTTCAAGAAGATGGATAGCATACAAATCCATCGCCGGTACGTTGCATGGGTACTCTTCTGCGATGCAAGTGTTCGTGGATCGCGAATCGAATTGTGGGACTGGCAGAGCGGATTGGTTGTTTGGGTATGTCTCCGAATACTCGAGAAGTAGCCTGACCGTCTATATTGATGCTCTGTCATATGTCAGTGCTGTGATTTTGGCAGCAAGGTCTCCTTTGCTTTGTTGGATTCTGTACACATCGTGGTGGCGGACGATCACTGGGATCACCTGCGCGTGTACCGCACCACCGGCCATGTCTGGGTCACTCAGGACATTTTGAGGCTTGACTTACCGTCTCGCGATTGCCGTCCGCGGGTTCAGGAGTCGAGCATTCCCGTGGCCCCTGCAAGCGCCCCCTTCTGGCCTGATCCAAAACTCAGAGTCATCCTCGTCGCTACTCGCGCAGCCTTAGGCGTGGTATCATCATACCGTTCAGGACCTTCGGCCACTGGCTTGACCGTATGGTTCTTGACGCCACAATCTCTTCATATCACTCCCTCGTCGACTGGAAGGAGTCACCTGTTGCTGGCAGAGGGATGTATCATCCTCTCTAACTAGTGCCAGACTGTGTTGTATCATTGGCTCTAACCACCGACAGGCTAAATAGGGTAGATACATCAGTCCGTCCTATATACGGCCACTATTGCTTACCCAGGTGCTTACTGTTAGCTAATACACTCTTTGCGGTATGTCTGGCTCGACATAACCTGGCGCCAACCCGCCCCTAGACCAAAATGGCGTCCCCCCCGCCTCTGCCGTTTCTGGACGCATGCTCCTCCCCTTTTGGCGGGAGTTTAGACTCCGACAATATGTCGCGAGCAGCCTATATGCAGCAGCGGTTTTCCAGTATACGTACCAAATACATACCTCCCCGTTTCGGGCGCGACGACGTAGCTACCAAATGCGGCAGCTGCCCGCGCGACCCCCTGCTCCCGCCCGCAGCCTCCCGCCCTCGCATACCATCCGAAACGCGTACGCCCGCGAGCGCACCACTAGCTTGTGATGATGTTTTTCACGCCGCTCGCCGCCAAACGGTGCGCATCCCCGACCAGTGGGCAGGCTAGCGCACCTCGCGCTGCGGGGCGGCTAGCGCACCTCACGCAGCGCCCCCGTGGGTGCGGCCGCACACCGCGCAGCTCGTGTACCACCCACGGAAGAGGTACGCACCCCGCGAGCGGTTCTCGGCACTCGTTTACATGAGCGCGGGGCCGTTTAGATAGCTTGTGCGCGTTGCGCAGCTCTCGTTGCAGAGCGCGGAGCGCGTTCATTGCAGCTCGTGCCGCCCCTCCCGGGGGCGGCATACAACTTCGTGGTACTTAGAACATACCTGGCGTACATCCAGATCCAGTCGCAGCGTGGATCAGGCTATAGATCTGTGCGTGAAATGATCAATTCGTATTGGGGTCAGTACATACCTTTATCTGTAAGGCAATGTACACTGTGAACTGAGCACGAGTACCATCCTTGAGCGACGGACCTTGGAGGAACACGGCAAGAGGGCCGGGGAGGCTCAAGAGGAGGCCCAGGGCGCACGGTGAGCAAATAGCCGCCAGGTGGGTACACGATTCCTCTAAGTCCCACAAATAGGCGCCCGTCGCCGGCAAGGAAATAGATACTTAACAAGCTACGGGGTACATGGCCAAACAAACAGAGTACGTGCATACAGAAACGCGAGATTGAGCGCGAGAGACGGAGGGAGGCAGGGAGAGTGCTTGAAGGTAGAGCAGTCGCGCGTAGAATGCGCCGATATGACGAGGATGTGGTGGATATACGACACTTGCGTGGATTGGGGATGTGATGTTGCAGAGATATGTAGACGTACCTAGTCCGAGTCCGAGTCAACCAATCCATCTGCCCCTCCTGTCATGCCACCAGACGCGAGCGATAGAGAGCTGGAGCTTGCAAGGGATACGAGGTCGGGGATGCTGCCTGCGACCGAGATCGAGCTGGAGCTGGCGAGGGATGCGAGGTCGAGGAGGCTGCCCGAGAGCGAAGGCGCGCTGGAGATTGCAATAGACTCCAGCTCGGGGAGGCTGTTCATGGCGAGATTGACGATAGAGGTGGTATCGTCATCAGTCACCAGGTTGACGTACTCCTGGACGTTACGCCATGCATGCTGAGCGTACGTCTTCAGCGCCCTCCGAATGCTGGCCTGACGTAGTGCGTATGCGCGTGTGCCCTCCTGGTAGTCGGGACGATCTTCAAAGTTCGCATCTGCCCGCCTCTCCCACTCACATGCAGCCCACTCGTGGTACTCCAGCACGCGATGCATCTCTTCCAGCAGAAGAAGAACCTCTTCTGTCCATCGGTGTGCGCGCGCGCGCGCCTTACACCACTCAGAGCGGACAGCTGGAGGCGAAGGTTCATAAGTAAGTCAAACACGAGGTCCATGCGGCAGACTTACATTCTTGCAAACTGCCCTGAGCACGAGCATTGACATTCGCGGAGGCCTCGCCAGCCGCGGGGACCTGTCCCTGTTCCGCGGTCGAGTAGTGCTTCCAGATCCAGGAGATCGTCCGCGTGCTCTCGGTCGTGTTCTCGTCCTCACTAGCATGGCGGAGGTCGCAGTCTTCGAGTGGTCGAAGCACGCGACGCCACCCATCTAGGTCTTTGCCCAACCTAGGGGAGAGACAGGACATGGCGTTCTGAGCACAACGATAACGCTGCGCGGCCATGTCGATCTTGTACTGGACACCGGCAATGGAGCTCATTGCGCGCGTGTTGGCGCCCTGTCCGCGGACCCAGCGATCCTTGATCTGGTAGAGGTGGCACCGGAGTTCGAGGAGACCCCGGGTGTCTGCGAGAGCGTCATAGGCCTGAGCTTCGCGAAGGGCCCACTCTTGCTGGAGCAGCTTGACATCGACCTCAAGGAAGAGCATGGCTTGGCTAGGGAGCAACAGAGGGATCTTGTGTGCGAGCTGCATCGTAGGAGTCGTCATGATTTGCGAGCGACGCGCGATGACGCCAGGTATGAAGAGTTGCTGAACCTTGAACCACGCGTCGAGCTTGCGGTGGAGCGTGTTCT